TTTTTAATTAAGCTTTATATACATTTAAAATCGCTATATAAAGAGATATGGTTTATACTAGCTTAGAATTTACCATATACGGACGAAAATACGATGGTAGCTTGATATGTCAATTTTTAAATTTCACCATGATGTGACTTTTACAAATTGTGGTGAAAAAGGAAAAAGTAAACTGCGACGATCGCCCCGAGAATAAAAGGTTGCTTGTCTGTGTAGTTTGTATTGTTTTACGAAAAAGCAGTTCAAAAAATATCTATTAAGAAATGTCTTAAAATAAACTTAAAGTAAAATGTCTGGAAATGTCTTGATTATTTTGAGAATTAAAAATGCTATATCCGAAAAGCAGCGAATTTTGCAAAATTTATGGAGCAAACCACGAAACACAGAAGCAAAAAGTCCACTTATTAATCAAGCTACATTCGTAATTACACATATTTTTTGCAAATAAAAAGTCTGCTTCAGAAATTTCGTTTACTTAAAATTAGTTACAGAGATGTTAGTATAAGCTTTTGCTACATTATTATACATATATGTATTTGTTATATAACTTTTGTGTCAGCTTCAACATTATGCCTGCCATATTATGTACACGTAAAGCAAATCTGTTCAACTATTTTACTTAGTCAACAATTAAGGTTCAACAAAACTTGCTTTTCCAACAATTATCTGAAGTAAAAAAAAAAAAAATAATAATAGTAGTTAATGTTATTAGCAGTAAAAACTATACTAATTGAAAATCTAGTCAATAACACTTTCATAAAAAATTAAATGATAAGAAAAAATGCACTGAAAAAAGTTTTAAATTTTGCAAAACCGTTAAAATGCGTGAAAATTATGAGCTAGGAGAAGAAAGATCGTGAACGAGAGAGAGAGAGAGAGATGACCAGTTAGATTTGAGTGAAAGCCAAGTATAAGCTACTAAGTCCCGATTTTTTTACTCATTAATGCTCTACTCTACAGCTTTGTAACTGTTTACACTCTGCAACGCATACTAGTGAAGTGATTTCCAACTTTTGAATTTGAAAGTGATTGGAAATTTCATTAAAAAAAATAATAAATTTTAAAATCTGTTGTCTAAGACTTGCAAATGTTTGCACATTGCATTGCTTACATGAGCACATGAGAATGAGGTAATGCATTAGAGAAAGATAGAGAAAATAAGAGAGCGCGTGTATGAATTATAATACGAATTACATGATGATGATAAACATAGTCGAATTGGATTCATTATAAAAAAAACAAAACTATTTATTTAAATTGACTTTGGCATGACTATGATGAAGTACCAATATTATTATAGAATACCCTAAATATTATATATAATATTATATATAAATGTAGAAAAACGTATGTATGTATGTAAGATTACTAAAAAACTTATTTGAAAAATCTTAATCAATACATGTATTCCAAGTTAAGTAAATAAGTCCAAATATTAATAAAAGTACATAAGGAAAAATATTAGATAAGCTTCGCATCTTTTTATTAAAGATAGTAAAAAATGGGTAATGTAATTTTTTATATTAATGGGTTATATCTACTTGTGAATTAAAAAAAATCGAATTTTGTTCATATATATATCGAATGTAAATATAATTGAAAATATTCCCCGAAAATTTGAAGTCGATTCGGCATATAGTGGCGGAGCTATGAATATAATATACGTGTATATGTTCATATAAAGTTCCGCGAAAGATTTATGCATCCATGGTCATTGGTAGACTGCGAATTCTAACCACAGTCAGATATTAGAGAATGTTTTCTGCACTAACATGAGAATTTTCCATCCGATTCCAAACATCAAACTCATTTAATCGGACTGAACTAAATTTGGCAATTATTTTTTGTTAGTCTAGAATTACCAATATCATGACTCGTGTAAGCGCGCTCCGATGTATACAAAACTATGATTGCAATCGATTTTTCAGCCAGTATTTACTTCAATCTTAGGAACTATAGCATATATTCTTAAAGCTTTGCATAACTTAATATTTAACCTAAATCTAAGCAACTATTTGATTTATTATGTTGAAAAACATAACAGATTTGCCAGGTCAGACTGTCTGATCTAATTGACAGGCCCATTACGCTAGATTTATCTCTTCATTCGTATGGTACATCAATAATTGAATTTTCCATATATTTACGTACGAGTGCGTATGAAAATATTGAAAGGAATGTTCCTCTTCTATATTTGTAGATATTTCTTTACAATTTACCAAATGGAAATTTACCAATCCCTGACGTAATTTAAACGCTGTATTACTATATAATCAAATAATGGTGCTCATATATACATATGTGTGTAGGTATGTAAATCAATGTGGCTTGGGTGAGTGATCGATAGATTGAAGACGTGAAATTGTTATCAGCGAATGCACCAAAGCAGTTTACGACAATGCAATAACAATATATTTTTTCAAATCGATTTTGAGTGCCGAAATTGAGGAAATATTATAAATACTAGAAAAACGGAAACGGAAGAAAACGGTTTTCCCTTATTATTAATTAGAATTAAGAATGTCAATTCGAATGTAAAAATAAATTTGTTAAAAATAGTTTATTTCCCAAAAGTACTCAGTAGTAAGAAAAAGTGTATATTTAACATTACATACTCAGTGTTCATACTGTGTAATCAGTAGTTAAACGAAACGGTCCCAATCCATAACATAAACATCATAACACCTATCGAGATTATTTTAACCACCAGATATGTTATTCGAGGTTAAGAGACTTACATAGAAAATTTTTATTGGAAAACGTTTTTTCAGAAGATAAGCTGCGGTCCAATTTTTGCTCTCTTTTTTTTCAGGCATATTCAGGTATCTATGCTAAAAAAGATGTAGATAGTATAGTATCGGTTAGACTAAGTTCCATGGCTGATCTTTAAATGGGGATCGCACTTGTCCTTCTATATAAAATCCAATCCAAATCGGCTTAGTAGTTTTATTTTTATTTCCGCCAGCTCACGGGATATCTGAAAGTGTGAGCTTCCATGAGTTTAAGCCTTGGTCTCGCAAAAACGAAACAATCAAGAAGAAAATGTTGAGATATTTCGACCTCATATTCTTCCAAACAGCTTCTACAACTGGCATCCGGTAAGTCTTACTGCGTGGACACCGAGAGGGCAATGACCAATTAGAACCCCTCAAACTGAGAAAATCTTAGCCTTATTGAGAAAAATGAGCTCATTAGACCTCTTGCGGTCTACCTTTAACGAAAATGATCTTGCGTCAGCGCAAAAACTAATGGTATTGGTGATAGTATTGTATATGTTTATATGTCTAATATTCCCTGATATCGCTACATTTATATTAAAAGTATATATTTTAAACAGAGTTGTGAGATCAGTGTAGATTTACAAAACAAAATTTTTGTACCGCTCTCGATTTTATTTTGTCTTTCGGATTTGAACTGAAGGTACTTAAGTTATCTTAGAATTTTTGTTTTCAGCCGTTATCAGGTTTAGCATAAAACAAGAAAAAACATTAACTTCGGCTTCACCGAATCTATAATACCCTTCACATATACATTTGTTATAGGAAAAAAGAGTATAAAAAGGTCTTTATCACGAGTTGGATGCATCAGTTTTTCGGAGATTATTGCGTTGTTTTGGACAATAATCCATGGCAATTTTCGTGACGATACCTGGTAAAATAAAAATTTTTGCATACAAGGACTTGGTTATGACAGCGATCAGATGACTACAGCATATAGCATATATTAACTGAAAGATCGGAATCAAGTTCTTGTAAAGAACCTTTGTGTTTGTGAAGGGTATATATAGGGTATATATATCTTCTTTTGATATTTCTTCGCATTCTCATAATAGTTGGGACAGCACTTCAAGCTGCGATTCGCTCAAAAAACCTCTCTAAGGTTTTTTCAAACTTATTCTAAAAGTAATATTTTCATTTAAGCAGAAGTATTTCAAATTATTTTCCAACATCTGTTATTGAAATGTGTTGCTCAGCTTCATAGCAACAACCTTAAACAATTTTTGCCAGGTTAAAAAAATATTTGCATCAAGGCTACTGCTTGACCAAAACACACACACACACACCTATACAAATAAAGCGCATATTTACATATTTTGCAATAATTTTTTTCTTATCACCTTCGTGTTTGTAAATATAGCGCCGATCATTCGACTTGCAGAAGAAACCGTTATCGGCAACACGTGAGGTTGTTTGCCACCTTTGCATGCGAGTATGTACCTATGTATGAGTGCCTATAATTGAATATAATTTGTTAGTGTTTAAGATGATACCTGCTATTGTGTTGGTGTATACTGGCCATTGCCGTTCTGATTTATTTTTACTTTCCATTTCATCAGATTTTTAAATATGGAATTCCGGTTCGAAAATCTATCGTGTTTTGAACAATTCTAAACGAAAAATAGGCGTGCCTTTTAATCACGTGATTAAAAAATCTAATTTCTAAAAGCAGGGGCAACATATACTGAGCGCAGCACTTCCATGCGCAGTATATACATACTTGTACTGTTGTATATGACGGTGGTTCAGAGAGTGCCCAAAAAAATATACTTATTAGCGAAAGTAGCTTTCTGAACACAGAAACGTTTTTAGTTCATCAAAAAATGTTGTCTAAAAAAATTATCTCTGCAGTTTTTTTATATCAAAACACTATTTCCTTGTACTGAAAAGCTCTTCGATGCCTGCCTGCAAAGCTAAAATAATCTATTTTTTTTTTTATTTTACACTAGGTGTACCCTTTAACGGTTCGGAATAAGCTCAGTCCTTGGCACAATGATTGCACCTACTTTGTATATAAATCAAGAACTAGTTCTTACCAGTTATATCAGTTCTGAATCACTTTCCGATTTTGAAAACAAAAACTCTTAGCTTACGTTCTTTGGCAAAGCCAAAGCCAAAAGTATTCTAAACTTGTTGAAATCAGTCTCCACAATTTCCATATCATCTAGTAAGAGGAATATTTTTATGAAATTTTTAATAATTTGGAACCAATCGATTGAAATATTTTATAAACTTATTATTTACTTATACCATATTTTAATAATAAAAACACAATTGCTTTTGCATTTAAGTTGTTTACTTCATGCGAACTGATAAGGTGCTGACGTATAAGTCATCTAAGTACCTATATCTATATCATGTAAAAACATCCGTATGCGATCAAAATGTGTCTTCTTCTCCATGAAAATGTGTGTCATAAACGCAACTGTTTCGTGAAATCAATGTAAACTGCATGAAGGAAGATTCCAATGGGGTTAATTGCACAGATCTTAAATATATAGAGATGTATATATATGTAATAAAAGGTATATACTTGTATGTATGTAAATGAAGTGAGAGTGAGAAAAGGCAGTTAGTGGTTTTGTAAGATTGTCTTCATTACATTATACCCTAGAGGCTCGTTTCAAAGCTTTCAACTGTATTTGACCGCTGGGTTCATTTAAATCATCATACACATGTATGTATAAATCTTTACGACTACGTCAGCAATAAATAGATTTACGCACATATTTTTGTTTTGATATTACAATATTTAAGACACATACATACATATATATATATACGCATATAGCATTGAATTTGTGATTACCCCCCATGAAGTATGGGGCGTTGCCTTAAGCCTGCCTTGGACAATTAAGTTATGCCTAAAGCATTTATTATAATAATAAGTGAGTTGAGTGGAAATAACCAATTGATAAATAGCAGAAGTTATCACCAAATTTAAAACCTTGGGTTCATTAGACTAATACAAATCTCAAACTAAGCCACTTGTAATTTGTTTTGAGAATATCATTTTTCACATGAAAGTTCTTCGAAAAGATACGGAAAATATACGCTCTAAGTCTTTGTTCTGTTTTTTTGTTAACGCGATCCTACTCCAGCACATAATCTTGACTTTATTACGATGTTTTATATAAGTTTCCTGAACTACTCTGGTTGAATTCTTCGTAGCAACAGTATATGGCATTTTAGAAGGCCCACTTATATTAACAGGCAAGGAAATAGTAATACCCCGAACTTTCATAAATCAAATAAATCGAACCCGTATGATTAACATTTCAAAAAGTGATCTGCTCTAAGGATATATTCGAAACTCAAGAACCTATAAATATCACAAAAAAGTTTTCAAGAAAACAAAAACTTCATCTTCTAGCTACATATCTGACTATACGTAATTTTTTTGGCAGTTCGCATTAAAAATAATAAGTTGATAATGCTTTAGAAGTCGTTTCTATTTTCTATTCTATTTCAAATTATAAAGCTTATACATTAAAAACTAATGCACTTAAATTCTAAATAAATATCTTTAATAGTTTTCGAGTTACAACCATCTAAAGTGTAGCTGCTCAGTTCAGTAAACTCCATAAGTTTATCTTTAAACTCGTTTTTCTCAAAACTACATTTTTCACATTTACTAAGGAAGACAGTGTTCCGATTTAATTCCTAAATTTAGAAAATTCATAACTCCAAAACTTTTCAAACAAATAAACAATCGTATTGGACACGAATGTACCTCAAAAAACACTAAAACTTGGATAGAAAGACGCATATATTTTTTTAAATTAATTACAAGCTTCACGAATGAAACAAACATCCTAACAATATATTGTACAATTCTAAGTATATTTATTGTTCTTAAATCATAGTAGACAAGTTTTGTAATAGTAGGAAACGTTTAATCCGCCAGTGTACGAGCATTCTTCATTTCTATTCGCTCCCTAACCACGGTTAGTTTAGTCACGTTCTCTAGAGTTTTGTAACGCTTATCATAATAGTCAAAACTGTGTGATTTTTTTATTGCAAATCTCGTTTGATAAGCTTTATGACAAAACTTTTGTTTATCCATGCGCAAATTACATTTGCTATTTAATACTTATTTTTTATTTACTAGAGATAGCCTGATACGTTAGGTTTATAAAAAAAAATATTTGTACTACACACATATATCATAAGTAAATGCTGATTACTTTAATAATTTTAATAATAGTTGGAATAGATGATCGTTTTAAATGTGTTACACTTGTATTAGGAAGTTGCCTATCCTGAACCATTTTCTTTTTTTTTTTGGTTTTTTTCCTTCCTCTCACTGTCGTGTTATTTTTTACTAAGTCTATTGTGATCAGTTCACACACTTTCTGACGTCATCTATTGTTTGCTGCTCAGATATAATGGAAGCGCCTTAACAAGCATTATTTTTTATTTTAAATAAGTAACTCTATATTCTTCCAATAAGCCAAAAACTTAACAGCCTTAAATAATAAATTTACCAATAATTATAAGTGCGTACTTAAGGGAGGGAGTACTATATTATAAATACATACAATTTTTTCAGTTTACTACAGATATTAATTATTCCCATATCCAGCAGCGAAATTTCTAATTATCCAAAGGTTATAAGGGGAGTCCCCAAATTCTGATTCCCATTTCGATGTTGTGGATTTACTGTCGAAAAAACATTTCCCCGAATTCGATTGTTTTGAAGTAAACTGAGATTTGCGATGCGTAAATGATTTGGTTATGCATACTTTTGCTTACTCGTATATAAAATTTATAACGAGATGATGATCATAACTATTCCACAATCAAGTAATATGCTCTATCACTTACCTTTTTTGCCTTTTTTGTTGTGTCATCTTTCAGCATTTTTTAAGCAAGCAGCACAATGTTATGAATATGTTGATTTTTCTATCGCAATAATATTTATATTGTATATATATTGTATACATACGACTATAAAAATTTCGTTTCAATACATATAACCCGCGCTCTCGAAAACCCTCGTGAACTCTAAAAGAGTAGTTGGTGCGAGATATGGTTATACATCCGCTTTACTCAAATTTGCTTCTATTGTACGTTATGGTGTAAATGTCCATGTCTGAAGCTGACATCTCTTCCTAAGCGATATTTTATTTCTTTATTCAATTGGTAAGCGGCTCTTCTCCTCTCCATAACTGACATTTTGCTCGTCTGATTCGCCTACTTTGCAATATTTTCAAGGATTACAAATCAAATTACTAAATTTATGTTATTAGAGATGCTGTGAGATAAGAAATCGATAAAATATGGAGAAAGTATACGAGTATTTTCTTAAAAATTTGAAAGCTCCTCTATCTTCTGTTCCACAAGAAGTAATCGTATTTTAAATCTGCAATTCATATTATGGTTATCAAGCAAACTGGTAACTCTTTTGACTAGTTTACAGAAGCAAAGTAGTGGATATTATTGAACTTATGGAGATCAAACTTCACACGAACATAAAAAAGGTTATACCAAAAAATTAAATTAAATTCTATCCATACGACCAGTCCCAGTCAAATATGATCAGTTGCTAAGTATTGTAATATGTCAATAATAATAGAATCCAATATTTTCAATATATTTTACAAATATTAAAAAAAAAGTATGTAGCTCTTTTTAATTAAAAACTTTTGCATTAAAAATTTAATTTTAATTTTTAAACCCTGTTGCATCGATATAAAAAGTATGATGATGCTGATGAGAGATTCCACTGGAAACACTGATCAATTTCCATTTAGCTTCACAAAGAGAGGTAACAAAGTAACGAACAGTTTTGTATTTTAATATGTTACAACTAAGAGTGGATATTTATCCGAGTTTATAGTATTGTCCAGGAGAGATCGTTTTTGATACTAATGTCCATCCACATTTACTGACCGGTGTTTTTTTTTTTAATGTAAATCCTTATATTAATCAGATATTACAATTGTTATAAATATTTAACGATTTTGAGGTCACAAAGTTGTCGAAAAGTGCCTACGTAAGTATGTTTTTTGTTTACTTTATTAAAATCTTTAAATAATTTTTATATTCAATTTATAATTAGAATAGTTATAAAAAAATGTTTTTATTTTATCTTTTTTTGTTTTTTATCTTTTAATTACTAATTGAAAATAGTAAATATTATATATTTTTCGTTTTAATAAAAATATTTTTTTTTATCTATCTCTTTATTAAAATGATTTTACTTATGAAAAAAACAAAAACGAAGCAAATAATGCAGCCATATAAAAATGTAACTTAACTCTTCAATTCTAGATAATTCTTTAAACTAATCATGTTTATAATTATATAATAATGAACCGGTTACCTGTGAGAGATGCTGAGCTGCATAAAACATCAATAACAATTTTAAACGTAAACAGCTGTCATCAAACTCTTAAGCATGTTGACTCTCCTCTCAGCATATAAATGAGCTATACAAATACACTGGTTACTTATCTGTTCTCTTAAACTCAACAAACACTTACAGCCATATTGTAAGAGCGTATTAGTCAAATGTGGCTAAAAAGAAAATGTCGAAAAAGTAAAAGTCAACACCACGCGCCACAGATTAAAGAATTTCTACATGCGCGTACATATCTATGTTGTACTTTCTTTCCTATTCTCAACTGCCGATAAAGACGAGACGATTTAACGAGAAGAGTGACATTGCAGCTCGCTCCGAAGTGCTCGCATCTGTGTAATCTTCTATTCACGACTTCTATAATCAAAGCAGTGCTGCTTGTAGTGTGTGCTGGCAGAGCGTTTGGACAACGATCGGCGCAACGAGCATAAATTGCGCTGATGTCCAACGGTGACGAGCAGTTTCCAACAAGCAGTAAGCCGGTGAATGACGAACTAATAAGCGCGCATCGTTCAAATATAATCTGTGGAGATCTACAATACTAGGAGGAAAGAAAAACAAAATATATACTTACGTGGTGATCGTAGAAAACCAAGAGAGTTGAAGAAATTACTGAAAAAGGAAACAGCAAATAGCTCAAAGAATTTACTGGAAATTTTTCAAACGTGGAGTCTAGTCGAACGTGGAGCTGTAGCGACGTGGAGCTGTAGAAAAAGACATTCATAAATATATTGGACTAATACAAAGATCATTGCTAAACAAAAAAGAAAAAACAAATAAACTGCTAAACAACAAATACAAAAAACTTGAGACACTTGTTTTTAATTTAACATTTTTTTGTATAAATAAAAGAAAAGCAAAGACAGTTAAATAACCAATTAAGTGAAATCTCAAAACAAACTCAAGCAGACAGAGATAACAAACATTTTGTATATACTTTTTGTGTCAACGCAAGACGTATTAGAAAAGAGTTACATACGCAGATCGGCGACTTTGCGCTATCAAACAACAAGTGTACAATAAAACTAAACTACACCAACAACACCAGCAAAAATGACAGGTTTCAATTTGAACGGCACGAGTCTGCTGAAAACCAAAGCCCTCAATGGCAACAACAACGGCGACACGAATGGCCGGAACAATTACATTGCCGAGGAATGTCCTAAGTAAGTAGTTTTAAAATTTTTTATTCACTTCATATGAAATACATACACATACAGAAATATATTTATAATTGAAATTTGCTCAACAATGTGGAGGTTAATTACTAATTTAATTTAATGACACTTATAAACACATACTTACTTATTTTACACAAAAAATATAATTTTAACTTGAAATATTATTTTATTAAAAAGTTATTTCCCAACTTTCGTTGATTTCTGCATAAACTGGTATTTAAAAAAATTTTTTTTGGTGTATTTTTTTATTAAAAAGTGTGTTGAAAGCTAAAACAAATCATATACCATATTATATTGTATATATATATTTTTTTTACAATAAATAATTTAAAAAGAAAAATTTGGATTAAAAATTATATCCAAAAATCGGTATTAAAAATTGAAAAATAAACCTTTATACCCAAAATCGGAATTAAAAATTGTGAAAAAAAGATTATGTTACAAATTAAGAGCTAAACTCACTTATTTCTAACTAAAACATTATAACTAAAAGGAATTACATTTAAATTAGACAAAAAATGCTAAACTATGCTGATATTTTATTTAAAATAAGCTTTCCTTTTCAAAATAAAAGGAAATTACAAAATAATATATTTGTTAATTTTTACTCATATTACTTGGGATAAAAAATTTTTTTTAATTCGCCATTTAAAATTTATTACAAATGACATTTTTAATACCAAAAATCTATTTTCTATCCGGTTTTTGGGCTTAAAAATTTATTTTAAATCTTTAAACCGTTACACGGGCATAGAAATTGTAAAACTATTTTTATTTTCGGGATTACAAACTAAAACAAAAATAATTAGAATTTTAATTCTATTAATTTTTTAATTCGTTATTTTAAATCCTGTTAAAAATTAAATTACTATTAATTAAATTAATAGTATTTCTTTCATAATCTTAAATGCTTCAACCGAATTTATTTAAATTTAACTATTTCTAAACTACTATTTAAAAAACAAAAAACAATTTATTATTGAAATTTTTTTATTTACTTTTTTTACATTAAAAATATTTACTTTATTGTCTTAAATATTTAAAACAAATTTTAAAATATATATAATAAAAAATATTCTTAATTTAAAGAAAAGATTTTTTTTATATAAAATGTTTTTGGCATACCTTTTTTGTTACTTTTTAAACCAATTCTGAATTAAATGTAATAAATTCTGCCATTATTATAAAAGCATTTTTAAAATTAGTTAAATTAAATTTCTTATAAAAAATAAAGTTTAATCTGCTTTTGTAAACAAAAAAGTGTTTATAAAAATAATAATAATAATATTAATAACGTTAGTTTTTTGTATTTCTTTTCACAAAAATTTTATATGATCTATTAATAACATTTGTTGAAAAAAAATTATAAATAATTATTTAGGATTTGTCGGGATCTCTGAAATATTTTAATTTGTTTTCGAAGAACTTAATACTCTATTTTTTTAAATATATGCACGAAATGTAATCCAAAATCACTTCTCAAATACTTTCAATCACCTTACAACTGTTTAATTTCGATCATGTTCGACCTTACTTAAATTCGAATACTGTGTTACATGCATACACATCTACATATGTAGGTATATACATGTCTACTTTTGAGTAGATGTTTTTGAAAATGGACACCGCTTGCACGCCAAAACAACACCAAATTCAAAACAGACAGCATACAAAAATGGTTGCAATGATAAAGTGAAACTATGGAACGTTTGTTTAATAATAAAGTAGTGGCACAACATAGCATGCGTAACCGATAAAATTATATGAATTGTGCGACGAAAATAAAAAGGAAAACAATTTAAAACATTTTATTATTGACTCTAAATTATAATATTTCTTATGACTGATTTAAGAGCCAACGAAATAGATCATCTGCTTTCAAAGATTCGGTTGTACGCATTACTAAAAATTATTTTTAATAGTTTTAGAGACCATCTTTCCAATCGAACCATTCTAGTATGCGCCAATTTTTTTTGTTTTTGATCTTTGGTTAGGCGATTTATCAATTAGGCGAAACGGCTCAAATAACCAAATGTATGATGCAAGAAATATCAAATCAGCATGTGTACCTATTTACGTGTATGTATGTTTGCCAATGGTATATATACACCGACAAACCACCTCAGATTAAGTGTCATACCAGTTGAAGCCGGTTAAAACCAGATTTTGGGTTCATTTTATTTTTGGTTTCTTTATTTGTTGAAAATCATAGATAAATGAAACGAAAAAATGCAAACAGCAGGAATAAAATAAAAAAAATTTTAGAAATTCAAAAAGCACCAAAATTTAGCAGAATTGTATACAAAGCATTAAATTATGTTAACCGTGATAAGCTAGAAATTATTTTTACTTTTAAAATAATTATAAGTATTAATTTAAATTAAAAATTGTTTTTTGTTAAAATTTTTTTATGTAAATTTTCAATACATTGAAAATACCTAATTCTTCTTAACCTAAACTTTTTCCGTATAGTATGTATATACATATACATATATGTAAGTAAGTCACTTCACGTAATGAAACTGACCTTGCCCGTCGTGAGAATATCAACTCAAGAGCATTTTCAGACCTATTTGGTGAATATTTCTGCCACTACAACAACAATCTAATCTTATTTGAATTAAATAAGGTCACTGTAAACTACATATATCCTTTATACAATAAGTAAAATCTGGATCAGTCAAGTATAAAATTTTTTTAATATTTTTATGTCCTCAAATAATAAATTTTTATTGTACTTTGTTTTCATATTCAGAAAATTATTTTGAGCAACCATTATGTTACGGCATGGTTCAAGACTTTTCAACACCTATATTTATGGTATATATACGGTTAAAAGTTCATGGATTTGGCATGCTTCGAAGTCTCCCATTAAATAAAAAACTGTTTAAGTCAGATTTTATCACTTTTCGACAAACGCCCAACAGATCTAAGATCACATACTTCTCAGAAAACTTTATATTAATTGTTCAGTTGTCAAAATTCCTCCATAAAAAGGCAGTTCTAAAAATAAAAGCTATTGTTTATAACGCAAAACAGTTAAGAAATTTACAATGAAAACATGTTACCCTTCAAATACATTACGAATTAGCGACAATTTGTAGAAATACTTTTTTATTTAAGCTACTAATTAGTAAAAACAAAAAAACAGGCTTTCATATGCGGCTTTCTGAAGTTGCCCTTGTGGCCTTATCAAAACAATAACAATAAAAACTAATCATTTCCAAACGTTCATCAATTTTGTTGTCTACTAAATAAATTTGGCGAATTATTCATAACAAAAACAGAAAAATTCGAACAAACAACAAACAAAGAAAAAAACAAACATGCATAAACAACAAAAAAGTAAGCAAAATTAGCACACATATTATTTATTATTATATTATTATATTTAATGCGTAAGAGGCCAAAAGGGCATAAACAAACAAGTATGAATAAATGAGTAAGCAAATGTGTGTACTAATTTATAGTACGAGCAACTATGCAAATATTTATGTGCACACATACATACGAGTATACATAAATATATAATATTTTTACTGTTATGTCGTTATGTTGTTATGTCAGCAAAACAAAAACAATTAAAACATTAAACAAAAAAAAAAAATAAGAAGAAGAGAAACAAAAAGAAGTGGTAATAGAAAAGTTATTAAATGATTTAAAAAATCTCAGAAAGACAGCACAGCTAATATAAAAATCTTGATTTATAAAAAAAAAAAATATTTAAAAAGCGTTGCCAGCCTTTTTGTTTAAGCATTTTATGCGCACATCCGCTACAAAGAAAAAAGTCGACTTATTAGTCCGCGTTTCTCTTCGACTTGGCGTAAACCGGTTGCGTCGTTGGCCAACAATTGGCAAAGTACAATTAAAGACAACTGTCACAACAACAAAAAATGCGTAAAGAAACGCACCTGCGGTCATAAAGTCCACAACAATTTATTCTATACCACGGCAGACCCTGTGGCTTGTAAGTAGGTGTGTGCACTCACACTTGCATGAAACACGCAAAAATAGTATGCAGTGAGTGTCATTGGCTATAAAAAGTGGGTGTGTGCGCCAAATCTATACGTATGTACATATGGACAACTACGTGGCTGATAAAACAAGTTTATCAGACACATATATATATATATATATATTATAGATATATATATATAGGTGTGCATGTTCACTGGCAGTAATTTACATGCACACTAATGTACATTAAATTTATTTGTTACTTGTTCAATTCATTTAAACACGAAATTCCCGATTGCTATATCGAAGAAGTGAATGTCAATTCTAGAACAGTTAATTAAATTATTATTATTATTATGTTTTTTTTTTAAATAATTTTTTAATACTTTTTTTTTCAATTTTTTTTATTTTTATTATAGTTCTCCAAATTAAATTTGCGGTAGTTTTTTGAATTTTTGTGTACTTTACCTGCTTTTCATAATTCATATACCGTTTCGACGTTGTCTTTATCTCTAAAATTAGCAAATTCATATATTCTCTTTTGTTTTTAGATTTTTTATGACATTTTATTATCATTTGTTTTGGTAATTATGAATTATGACATTCTTATCAATACAGTTATCAAAATTAGCGAAATTCTTTGAATACATGATATTAAAATATACCGTTGTGTATTGCTATATGAATTTGGCTTTCAAATAAACATATCAAGAATATAGAACAAGCTTTGAACTAATCCAAATGCTACATGCATCAATTTGCAAAAATGTACTTGCTTCTTTTAATTAATTGAAAAAATGTAATTATTGTTAGCATGATCAAATAACAATCATCAATAATCGATGCTGTCGCTTATCGTTAATGGGCCACCTCTTAAAGTATTTTGACAAAAAATAGTCATTTTGGTTTAATTAGCACGAAGAACGACGATCCTCACCTTTGAACACTTTGATACTGTAGTAGCTCTTCGTTATTAATGAGTAATGATCCTCTCGAATAATTTCAGGATAGCAATCATAACACACAAT